TCAAACCACCAGCTGCTAAGCAACATTAACTTGAATTTCTTGCTTCTGGGTGAATCTTCTCAAACTTATTTAAAATGTACCTCTTCTTATAATCTTAAATGTCATAGCTAAGACTCTTAGACTTGGTCTTTTCTTTTAGGACAAGCTGATTTCACAGATCAACGGGATCAACAATGCTGCTAAACAGTGTAAAGCAGGTGAAGTAATATATGGAGGCTTCCTCCATGCTAATGAAGACAGAATTCACTTAAAATCAACCACGGACAATGATTAATGCCAGGCTGAGTTTTCCTTAGGCAAGGCAAGAATTGTTGAGAAGGATGAAATGCATCCACCTCTTACCTCCTTCAGTCTCCCACTGGTGAAAGTGGGAGACAAGGCACTACGAATCCTCTTCCACTGTTCATCAACAACAACAGATAAGGCTGTATCCAGATTTCCATTCAGACCAAAGTCCTGAATAATGTGAAATATAAAGAAAGTAAAAACAGAAATGTCTCATTTTGTTCTTCTCAGGCCTTTCTTTTCAATTTGCTGTCTTATTAGCTAAGTAGACAATCTCTCTCTCTCTCTCTCCTATATATCTCTCTTATCTATTTCTCTATCATTATGATCAATATCTCTATCTCTCTATCTAATCTTCTCTGTCATTTGTCTATCTAATTGATAGCCAGATATCTACTGCTGTTCTGGAATTCAATACGGCATACATATTGTTCCACCTCCAATCTCTTTCACAACAAGTACATGAGTTTCGGTGGAGAAAGAGTGACTGGCCCAAAGTTGACTTGGGGGGCTTCCAGGATTCAGGGAGACCCTGGACCCAGGTGTCCCCAGTGCCAACCCAACACTTAAACCACAACATTAGACTTGCTCTGCCCAGTTCCCTTGCTAGGTTTCTGTTTCTCAGCCCTGGTGAAGTTCTAACCGCCACATGTTTGGATACCTACCCGGCGATTGGTGAAATAAGTATAGAATTCTTTGACCAGGATGGTTTTAATGAGGGCGGGATCCAGAATGGCCATCACAGGTTGCCGGCCATCAAATAGTCTGATTGTCAAAATAAATAAAAAAATGTTTTGAAATGCAGGCCTTATCTTTATAAAGAGACAGGATCAATATTTCTTATTTTCCTGCTAAATAGCCAGTCAAGTAAAGAACATTGTTCTGAAGTCCAGTTCTTGGCCCAAAAGTGATGTGTATGTTGCAACAATTGTCTACCCCTTAAGAGTTTGAGGAGTGGAGGAAATAAGGATTTATAGACAGGTTGTCCAACTTACATCTCTGCCCGGTGAGCAAACCCAAATGAAATAATGAAGAACCCTAAAAAGCAGGTTAACAGCAGACAAGGCTGAAAAAACACTGCAAATAGTTTCTATCTTGCATGTCCTACATGAGCAAAGAATTCTCAATTTTTTTAGGGCAGAATGTAGACTTTCTTTCTTTCTTGTCTCAGCATAGCACACGGGCCCTGGAATTTGATGGATAAAGAGAATGATCTCTCTATCATCTCAGACAAGTGACTGCCCAGCCTCTTCTTAAAAATCTCCAGTGATGGAGCACCCACGATTGCTGGTGGCAAGCTGTTCCACTGGTTAATTTTCCTCACTGTCATTTTTGCCCTTCTATATTAGAAATCACCCTCTGAAGACAAAAGTAGATATTAACATTCCACCCATCACCCTTCCTTCTTGAAGGTGAGATTCTGACAGGTGACTCACCCCCAGATTTTGCCGTATTTCTCAAAGCATGTCTGGCTAAACTTCAGGATACCCTGCCAAATTAAAGAGGGAGATCAGTGAAAACAAGGCAGTGTAAACCTTTCTTCAACGGAGACTGGAAGAATATAAACAGCCATTAAAAGGCCTTCAACTTTGAATCTCTATTGATGATATGGTTAAACCGATACAGGGACAATATCTTCAGAATGAAGATGCCAAAGAAAGGCAGATGGCTTTAGTGGTAGTCCTTATCTTATGACTGCAATCAATGGTTATAAGCTGAGGACTACTTGTACTAATGGCCTTCTTCTGAGGAGGCCACAAAGAGGTGATATTAGGATGTGAAACAGGACAACACACTCACATGCCGATATTCATGCAAAGTTCCAATAAAAGGCAGCGGTGTTGGCCCAGGAATTCCCAACTTCTTAAAGTAATATAACGGCCAGGTTCCATAGCTGAAAAAAAAAACAAAGGAAGATCAGCAGGATAATGTCACTGGGTTCCATACAAAGAAGGCTTGGCAGGTGGAGAAGATCAGAAGGTCCATCAAGCCCACCTTGAAGGACAGCAAAGATGTCCTAGATGCAGAGAATGGGGAAGATGACCTTGACAAAGCTGTGCAGAAGCTGTTTCTCAGGTAAAAGGGGCGGAAACTTTTTTTAAGTCTAGAAAAAGGAGACAGCACTTGGAAGCTGTTCAAGCAGACACTCCCTAATTCACTGCAGCATAAGGAGGAGGAGGAGGAGGAGGAGGAGGAGGAGGAGGCAGCTGTCCAGCACAATAAGACAATGACCTGTTATTATAACAAACTGCATAAAAGTAAATCTAGCCTTCTGGTGCAGTTGATTTCCTGGTCTAGTCTTGCTACTAAGGTTGACATAGTGAGAATGGCACTGATAGCTATTAATTAGCCCCAGAAGGTGAATATCAGGTGTACCTGGATACCCCAAGTCCTGTGGTTTTCCACCTCCTATCCTTTCCCACTCAAAGTCACTGGGAGTAGAACAAGTCAGAAAGAAAAACAGAGCCAAGCAGAGAGAAGAAGGGAGAAGGCAAGGCAAGATAAGGAGGGGAGGGGAGGGGAGGGGGAGAGCAGAAGAAGAGGAGAAGAAAGGAAATGAGAAGAGAGCAGAGCAGAGGAGAGGAGAGGTGACAGCAGGAGAAGAAAAGAAAGAGGAAGAGAGCACAGGAGAGATAAGAGGAGAGGAGAGGAGAGAAGGAGAAGGAGAAAAGAAAAAAAATTAACAGAAAAAAACCTGAAGTCAACTCAAGTCACAATTTAACAGAACTACTATCCAATAACCGGCCCCACCTTCCGCTTTTACGCCACCAAAAGCCCCAATCCGCCCTCCAAACGCCCCAGCCGGGAGCCCTGCAACTTCGGGAGGGGCTTCCCCGTTTCCCTCTCCCCCCTCTAGCCCCTAACCCGGCCTGGCGCAGCCCCCACTTACAGCAGCCCCAGGGCCAGGAGGAGCAGGAGCAGCGCCCAAGTTTCCAGCGCCCAGCCCAGGACCGGGTCTCCCATGGCGAGCGCTTCTTCGGAGGCTTCTGAGCCGCGTCTCGGAAGTTCCGGGGTTTTATAACCGTCCTGGGAAAGAAGCCTGCCCGGGACTCCTCCTCGGCCGGCCTCCCGGGGCCACTCCCCGCTATGACTCCGATTACAAGCCCTGGAATGTCCGGCCAGCCCAGGACTATGTAGTCCTAACAGCCGAAGAGGGTTGCTCTTTCTCCATCATCATTCCTTCTCTTCACCATCTTCCTTCTCCTTTTCCTACTCTTCTTGTCTCCTGCTCCTGCTCCTCCTCCTCCTCCTCCTCCTCCTCCTCCTCTATCACCTTTCCTTCTCCTCCTCCTTCTCCTTCTCCATTATTCCTTCTCTTTCTCCTCTTTTTTTCTGGTGTTTTCTTTTCATCCGTTCTGAAAATCAAAAAGAGAAGTTTGCTCTTTTTGTCCCGTGACTCGTCTCCTGTTCTTTTGGGACTGAGGCTCAAGCGAGCAGTATTTATAGGCAGATGGAAACTTCTCCTTTTGCTGGTGTTCTGTTAGGCCAGCAGCCCAGGCACATTTGGCTTCTGAGACCCCCTTGCACCCAAGCAGGAAACCCCCTCCCTTTGCACCCCCTCTGGGCAATGCAGCCCTCGTTGCCCAGTTTCGCTCTCCAAACTTGTTGGGGGTCTCTGTGTCTACTGGAGGGTCAATTCTTCTAGGAGCTGAATTCTGGTTGGGTGTGCTTGAAGCAGAGTTTCCCCTATTTTGCCCCTTCCCCACTGCTGGACACCCCAACATCCGGCAAGTGTCTTGGTGGGAAGCAGCTGGCTTCAGAAGAAGGCTGTGTGAGGTGGGTGGTCCTGAAGAGGCTTGCGAAGGAGAGGGGGGGGGCTTCTCATTTGAACACCCCTTCCTCCACCGATTGCGTCATTCCCCTTGCGCCCTGTCCAGTTATATACAGCTTTCTTTTCTTTTCAATTTTTCTTTTCTGTACTTTTTATTTTTCATTTATTTGTTAGTTAGTTTGTATTAATTTTCAACTATTTAATTGTAATTTCCGATGCAATTACTACTTAAAAAAACATCAAATACTTGCAAAGTATCCAAATGACACTTTTCTTCTTCTTTCATTTAGTTCTGTGAGACTGCAAGAAAGTTTATTAAGACCGCCTCTTCGTTTTTATACAACATTTCTTGAAATCTCACGCACTAAGAAAGAAAAAACAAGAAAGCACCTTTGAGAGAACCATGACCTGGATGATGGAGAATCTGCACAGTCTGTCTTAGTAAGACTTTTTGAGGTCATCTCAAGTAACCTCCATAGTGTCCCAAGGTTTTTGTAGCAGTGGATGGTTTGACCATACGAAACAGACTGCAAGTGGCCTTTGCATACAGTTTGTTGACCCCAACTCTCATCAAACCAAAAAGACAGGGCATCTTCATTATCTTTCACTTGGCTTGCTTTCCAGATGTTTCTCGTGATCGTATCTTCATCTTATCAAAGAGAGATCCAAGCTAGAAGAAATTTCCCGACAAAAATTCAGGGATTTTCTCTGATAGTTTGCAATGGCTGTCTTATTCAAAAGCTGTGTTTAGATAGGATGCTAGCATGTTTTTATTGTGAAATCTTTTTGTGACCAACAAGCGAGTTCAGAGAGCACCAATGACTTAACCATATCTTAGACCACTTCAACCACTATGCCAAGTTCTTCCTCTTAAAAGAGGCAAAAATGTTTCCCTCCCCTTAACCTTATTACCTCATCTGATTGACACACAGAAGCCGTTGCATAATGGCATGAGGTCATCTTTTATGGTGAGCATTATTCCAGGTCTTGAGAAATGCCTTAGTGGAGAACATCCACTTGATATGTAGAAGATCCAAAGTTTAATATCCGACATTTCTTGGTGAGATTAAAGCTGCTGTAAACCTCAGGGATTTTTCCCGGTACAGTATGCAATGATTGTTTCATTCAAAAGCTGTGTTTAGGCCAGATGCTAGCGTGTTTTTATTGTGAAATCTTTTTGTGACCAACAGGTGTCTCCTACTCTCCATAAAACGTCTGTTTATTTAATCCCCTTTCTACCCCAGCAATCAAGGAACCCTGAGGCCGTCCGTCCGTAGGGAGATGCTTGAGGAACTTCCTTTGGCAGAAGAAGAGCGAAGCTTAGAAAAGATTCAGAAACTTGCAGTGGTGTCTTGAATGCTTGTGGCAGGAGTCACTCAAAATCAAGTGATGTGTATATTAAATAAGTGAGCTTTTTTTAAAAAAGTTAAGACTGGAGGGATCCCAAGATTAACTGGCGCATCCAACATTCCTTGAAAACTGCATGAGGAAATGTCTAAACAGGCATTTAATTCTATAGATTCAGACTGCTGCTGTTATGTGACATGAAGGCACAACAGGAAGGAAGGAAGGAAGGAAGGAAGGAAGGAAGGAAGGAAGGAAGGAAGGAAGGAAGGAAGGAAGGAGACACCACAGCCTCTTTTCAGCCTCCAGGTCTTCTATTCCTCATGTTCTACAATAGTTCTGGGCACCAACTTCAACATGATGGGCTTCTTCGGCTTGAGGAACCCTGTATCATTCAATTCCAAAGGGATCTTCCCCATTAACCAAAAGAAAGGGAGGAAGAAAACATCACAGAGATGGAATTAAATAGAGACAATTCAACTAACAAGGTGACTGTGTACATGTTACACTATGATAATAAAGGTTCATTTATTCATTCAATGACCCGTATTTTACATACATGCCTTTTCCTTTGCCTTCCTCTTTGTTGGAGTATCTCTCTCTCTCTCTTTCTCTCTCTCACTCACTCACTCACTCACACACACACAAACACAACTGGGCTTCTCACCCCAAAAAGATGACCCTGTCTTTCCAAAGAGATCTTCCTTTCACATTCATCAACTCCTTGTGTCTTTGAACAAGACATATATGTGAGATAAGAATTCAGCTGAATGAACTCTTCAGTGAATGAGCAAGAACCAGCTTCTAACCCAAGTGGTAAATAGGACTCACCGGTGTCTCTTTGCAGGTTTGGAAGCGAAATCTTTGCAGTGCTACCACCAGACCCATTTTCAGCACCAGCAGGGCAAAACGCATAGCGATGCAGTTCCTGGGACCCGCTCCGAAAGGGAGGAAGACATACGGGTCTCGGCTCTCTTTGTTCTCTTTACTAAACCTATTTGCAAATCAGAAAAAAATATCACAGCTAAATAAAGCTACTATTCCCAATAGTCTGTTCTTTGATTCTGTAACTAAGATGCACCTTTGCTCCTTCCTTGGTGGATAAACTGACTGAGACCCATAAAGAAAGATAGTTTGTGGAGAGAGATGATTGTGGTTCGGTAGCTGATCTGGTGTAGTGGAATGTAGTCTGGATTCTCAGAAGGGAGGGGCTGCTTTCCAGAGGACCAAGAGACAGTGAAATTTAGATAATATGTTTGGCAGGAATTAAGAAAACCTTTCTCTAGCAATTCTCAGAGTATTTTAAGAAAAGAGCAGGCATTAGGTTAGGTTAGGATTAGGGTTAGAGTTAGGGTTCTCATGGTCTAAGTTCAACCCCTCAACCTCCATAGAACCTTATCAGAGGCCAAATTAGTTGACTAGATTCTAGATCAATGTGGTTCAATGCCAGTTGCCCTACAGCTTTTTGTTCAGTTGTTGGAACATTAAACCAAGCCATTGTCTCAGCTGCTACAGACAGCTTAGGCATCATTTTCTTCACTGGAGTTAATTAAGTTCCAACCACAGTTTATGGATGTGGATCATAAAAAAAGCCCTGAGTGACATTGTTGATGTCGAAGAATGATCTGTGTCTCATTTGAGATGTTTCAACCAACATGTTGCTCCCTGATGCCTTCATGGTGCTATGTCTCTTATTCCCCATATTTCAGAAGAACGGTGTTCCTCATATCATACCTCTCAGGTCTGAATTCCTCGGGCTCAGGCCAATATTCTGGGATCCGATGTAGGGCATAAGCAGGAATTATAACCACGGTCCCTTCTGGGATGGTCACTCCATGGATTTCCACTGTCTTTTTGCAAACTCTCTCAAGTGGTGGCCCAGGAGGGTAAAGACGAAATGTTTCATTCACTACCATATCTAGATATTCCATTTGTTGGATACCCTCATAAGTGGGAGGGACCTGCACAAAAGGACAAAACAAAACAAAATAAAATAACATGACATTCTGATACATAAGAAGTGATCTGGAAAGAAAGAATCAGAATTGGAATATTATAAAAAATGTTCTTGCAGAACAGGAATCCTGGAAAACTGGCATCTCCCACCTCCTCAAGGGTCACATTTTGGTTTTGTAAACATTGGAAAAAGTAAAATAAGTCCTGTCCTGTTAGAAGAAGACTCTGGTTTTGCTCTTCTGGGTGAAAACATCTCCACTCTTGGGAAGCACCCAACCTGGCGGGAGGAAGGATCAAGTGAGGAGCTAGCCTGGAATCACTTTGCAATGACAAAAGGGCCAGGTCTGATCCCACTTTAGTTCCTTGAGCTTTATCTAATTATTCCCAGGAGTTGGCTGCCAGACTGGGGAGATTCCTGTACCACAGGCAGAACATAATAAAATAGCTCAAACTCTGCTTGTGTGGGTCTAGTTGTTCATGCCTGGCAGCTACTAAAATGATCCATCCTCAGCCAAGGTAGTCGCACAGCCCACAAAAGTGTCTTACCTGTTTGGGAAAAATTTCATTGATCTCTTCGTACAATTTCTCTTGAACATCGGGGTGCATGGCCAGACAATAAGACATGAAGCTGAGGGAGGTTCCCGTGGGCTCATAGCCACCAAAAATAAAAATAATTGACTGGGCCAAGATCTCTTTGTCTGTTAAAGCTATCAGATGAGAAAAGAAAGCACAGAAGAAGCTGGTGATCATCAGCACAACATTCACTGTTACACCACAGGTACACTAGAGGAGATATCTCCAATTGACTTGTGGCTTTCAGGGTAACACAATTATCCAGGAGATCTGATTTTGATCAACAGCTTTAAACAGCTCTCTCTCTCTCTCTCCCTCTCTCTTTATCATCATATGAAGAACATCAGCAGCTGTATTTGTAGCTGCAGGCAGGGAAAACTAAAATACGAAACATTAGTTTAATCAAATGAACACATTGTGGGGCCATGTAGTTTTTTCCAGTTGACTAAACCTTCCATCCTTTGATATCAATAAAATGAGGATCCAGATTGTTAGGGACAATATGCAAATAAAGGAAAGGAGAAACAGAGATAGGTCTAAAATTAATCAACCTTAAAAGAGTCTTTAGAATTTTCTCTTTTCCCCCTCACTTTCTCCTTTCAATCTCACTTCAATTAATGTTAGCTATATTTTGCAGAAAAACAGGTGACTTTTGAAGCTGACACTGTCAATAAGCCATAGAGAAGCTTTATTATATTTAACGCTATATTTGAATGGCGACTAATTTAAAGTAGGAACATTTGATCTTCTTCTCTTGACTTTGTTCTAAGAGGCAGGCATGGAGAGCAAGAAAACCTACAGGAAGAGGTTTGAAGTAAAAGTTGAACCCCATCTAGATCCCAATGACCTAAAGTCGACAGGTAAGCTGCAAATTCAAGGTGATAATCTAAGGAATCCTGTAGGGTGTTATCCATCCATTGTCTCTTATCTCATTATCTTTCAAGACCAGCCTTCTCTCTAATCAAACATTCTGATCCCTTTCAGAGAATCTGGCCTTTGTGCATGGCATTCAACCCACAATATATTTCACTTTTCCTCTCTTCCAGTGCCCGGCGGTTTCAGCATCCTTCAATAATGTTTATTTTGAGTTCATCCATGCACATCAATGTGCCCCAAGCAACCTTGTTTTTTTTTTTTTCCTTTTTCAAAAGTGAGATCTGTAACTTTACCTTTCTCTGAATTTGCCTCCCCAGAGGTATTGGCTGCAGTTTGAGAGTCCATCATGAGCCGAAGAAAGTCAACCCGGTTCTGGAATGGTAGAGAGACCCAAAAACTGTCATTAAGGAGATACATCTAACATTGATGGCTCCAATTGCTCATTGTAGACTTCCAAAGTATATGAGGTGCTCTCTGAGCTTGCGTGTTTTGCTTGCAGATGTTTCATTACCCAAACTAGGTAACATCATCATGTTGGGCCATGAAAGGTCTGCAAGAAAACCGCCAAGGTCAGAGAGTACCAAGGATCCCACTTGTCAACCCTGAGCTACAAATCTTCTCCATTATTAGAAGGTGTTTGAAACTCAACGGGCAGTTCTGAAACCTGCCTGGCATGCATAAACATACACCGAGTGCACAAAATCCAGGTCACAAAGGCCACAGAACACCAACCACGAGACAAATAGTCTAGACTGACCGTGTGATTCTCCTTTTGTCGATCTTCTTTGATTTTTTTGGCGACACGATGGAGGAAGTCTATGGTAGACTTGGGGAATATAGTCAGATTGAGCTTGTTCAGCACTGGAGTAAGGAATGGAAAAAGAACTGGGGGAGGGGTGGGGGGGGGAAAGCAAAGAGATCATTTGTGTGAACACAACCAAGCTGCAACACAGAAAAGTGGAAGATATGGAGGAAAACATGGGAATTTTGCAAAGATGTCATCTGAATCCTCCAAAAAATGAATGAAATGTGGTCTACAAGGAGTGCCTTTCCAGTAAGCAAGCAAGAGGCAGAGCAGAGATGTCCACCTCTGTGGCCTACAAAGTCATCTTACCAGCCAAGATTAAAACAGGGTTGAGGAAGGAAAATCTGAGGAACTTCTTCATGTGCACAACAACAGGATCATTGGGATGGTTGAGGGAGTCAATATCGACACCGAATGAAGTGCTGGTTACCACATCCAAACTGTAGGCTGAAAAGATCCTGGAGGGAAGAAGGAGAAGCATAGCGTGGAGGTTCAACTATTAGAAGCCACCTCATAATACGTTCAATAGATGATCTCAGGGAACCCTTAATAATTGCACAAGGGATTTCGTGTATTATGAAAAATGTGAATCCATTTTGATATGTCTGTAAATTTCCTTCTGTAAATTCCTGTTAGAAAAGGGATGCTCAATAAACAATCTTATGGATATTACTTACAACTTCATATCTATGGCTTCATCATTCTCCACTTTCCTTTGAAAGTTCTTCTCCAGGATTTCATTATAATGGTTAATGATGGGCAGCATCTGAAAGGAAAACCAATGTACCAGCTGCTGAAGACCCTTTGACCATTTATAGACTGAAACCAACAAGTCGGCTCAGATAGCCATTTTCAAACCACCAGGTGCTAAGCAACATCAAGTTGAATTTCTTGCTTCTGGGTGAATCCTCTCAAACTTATTTAAAATGTAGCTCTTATTATAATCTTAAATGTCATAGCTTGCTGGCTTTGTAGCTGTTTCTTCATTTGCTGTAAGCATTGAGCATGTCACGATATTAAACTAGATCCCATTCAGTGCGGCTGGTGGATCACAAGGGCGTACAAATGTTGGCTGCTAATAAAACTCAGCTAGGATTTATGAAAGTGAGCAGAGCTAGAACCATCTTCATAGAAGAGAACTTGCAAAGCTCCATCATTCCAAAACTGGAAGAAAGCCTAGGCTAACCAGGTTATATTTCCCAATTCTGGAAATAATTAATTGTAGCTAAAATAAAATGCACTCATGGAAACCTTTTCCAATCTGATATTCTCTTCCATGATAATCGGAAATTTTGAGAGTTGGAATCCCAGGCTGTCTGGAACGGTTAAGGAAGGTTTGATATAAGAAAGGTGGAGAAATTTAGTCAAACATTTTAAATACCTACTCCAAGGAATGCTGGAATTTCTTGGAAAGTTATTAGGAAGAAAATCAGTAACGAAGAAGAGGCTTTTCTAAAATATACACTCTGTCTTAATAGCTGAAGGAAATTAATGGGTGACCTCTTACCTCCTTCAGCCTCCCACTGGTGAAAGTGGGAGACAAGGCACTACGAATCCTCTTCCACTGTTCATCAGCAACCAAGGATAAGGCTGTGTCCAGATTTCCATTCAGACCAAGGATCTGAGAAATGTGAAATATAAAGAAAATAAAAACAGAAATGTCTCACATTGTTCTTCTCATTCCTTTCTTTCCAAGTTGCTGTCTTATTAGCTAAGTAGACTCTCTCTCTCTTATCTATATATCTTTATGATCTATTTATCATCATCATCATCATTATCAATATCTATCTATCATCTATCTACCTATCTATCTACCTATCTATCTATTTATCTATCTCTCTATAGTTTGTCTATAATTGATAGCTAGATATCTACTGCTGTTCTGGAATTCAAGACAGCATACATATTGTTCCACCTCCAATCTCTTTTACAACAAGTACATGAGTTTTGGTGGAGAAAGAGTGACTGGCCCAAAGTGACTTGGGAGGCTTCCAGGATTCAGGGAGACCCTGGACCCAGGTCTCCCCAGTGCCAGCCCAACACTTAAACCACAACACTAGACTTGCTCTTCCCAGTTCCCTTGCTAGGTTTCTGTTTCTCAGCCCTGGTGAAGTTCTAACAGCCACATGTTTGGATACCTACCCGGCGATTGGTGAAATAAGTATAGAATTCTTTGACCAGGATGGTTTTAATGAGGGCGGGATCCAGAATGGCCATCACAGGTTGTCGGCCATCAAACAGTCTGATTGTCAAAACAAAAAAAGATGTTTTGAAATGCAGGCTTTATCTTTATAAAGAGACAGGATCAACGTTTCTTATTTTCCTGCTAGCCAGTCAAGTAAAGAACATTGTTCTGAAGTTCAGTTCTTGGCCCAAAAGTGATGTGTATATTGCAACTGTGATTCTGCACAATTGTCTACCCCTTAAGATTTTGAGGAGTGGAGGAAATAAGGATTTATAGACAGGTTGTCCAACTTACATCTGTGCCCGGTGAGCAAAACCAAATGAAATAATGAAGAACCCTAAAAAGCAGGTTAACAGCAGACAAGGCTGAAAAGACACTGCAAATAGTTTCTATCTTGCATGTCCTACATGAGCAAAGAATTCTCAATTTTTTTAGGGCAGAATGTAGACTTTCTTTCTTTCTTGTCTCAGCATAGCACACAGGCCCTGGAATTTGATGGATAAAGAGAATGATCTCTCTATCATCTCAGACAAGTGACTCCCTAGCCTCTTCTTAAAAATCTCCAGTGATAGAGCTCCCACAATTGCTGGTGGCAAGCTGTTCCACTGGTTAATTTTGCTCACTGTCACTTTTGCACTTCTATATTAGAAATCATCCTTTGAAGACAAAATTAGATATTAACATTCTGTCCATCACCCTTCCTTCTTGAAGGTGACATTCTGACAGGTGACTCACCCCCAGATTTTGCCGTATCTCTCAAAGCATGTCTGGCTAAACTTCAGGATACCCTGTCAAATTAAAGAGGGAGATCAGTGAAAACAAGGCAGTGTAAACCTTTCTTCAATGGAGACTGGAAGAGTATAAACAGCCATTAAAATCCCTATTGATGGTTAAACCGATACAAGGACAATATCTTCAGAATGAAGACCAAGGAATTCTTAGAGAGATGCCAAAGAAAGGCAGATGGCTTTAGTGGTAGTCCTTATCTTACGACTGCAATGAATGGTTATAAGCTGAGGACTACCTGTACTAGTGGCCTTCTTCTGAGGAGGCCACGGAGAGGCGATATTAGGATGTGAAACAGGACAACACACTCACATGCCGATATTCATGCAAAGTTCCAATAAAAGGCAGCGGTCTTGGCCCAGGAATTCCCAACTTCTTAAATAAATTAAACGGCCAGGTTCCATAGCTGAAAAAAAAACAAAGGAAGATCAGCAGGATAATGTCACTGGGTTCCATACAAAGAAGGCTTGGCAGGTGGAGAAGATCAGAAGGTCCATCAAGCCCACCTTGAAGGACAGCAAAAATGTCCTAGATGCAGAGAATGGGGAAGATGACCTCGACAAAGCTGTGCAGAAGCCATTTTCCAGGTAAAAGGGGCGGAAACCTTTTTTAAGTCTAGAAAAAGGAGAAAGCACTTGGAAGCTGTTCAAGCAGACACTCCCTAATTCACTGCTACATAAGGAGGAGGAGGAGGAGGAGGAGGAGGCAGCTGTCCAGCACAATAAGACAATGACCTGTTATTATAACAAACTGCATAAAAGTAACTCTAGCCTTCTGGTGCAGTTGATTTCCTGGTCTAGTCTTGCTACTAAGGTTGACATAGTGAGAATGGCACTGATAGCTATTAATTAGCCCCAGAAGGTGAATATCAGGTGTACCTGGATACCCCACGTCCTGTGGTTTTCCACCTCCTATCCTTTCCCACTCAAAGTCACTGGGAGTAGAGCAAGTCAGAAAGAAGAAGAGAGCCAAGCAGAGAGAAGAAGGGAAAAGGCAAGGCAAGATAAGAGAAAGGAGGGGAGGAGGAGAGTAGAAGAAGAGGAGAAGAAAGGAAATGAGAAGAGAGCAGAAGAGAAGAGAAGACAAATAAAGAGGAGAGGAGAGGTGAGTTGAGGACAGCAGAAGTGAAGAAAGGAAAAGGGAAGAGAGCACAGGATAGGAAATAACGGAGAGGAGAGGAAAGGAGAAGAGAAAAAAAAATTAACAAAAAAAAACCCTGAAATCAAGTTAACATTCACAAGTTAACAGAACATCCATCCAATAACCATCTCCACCTTCTGCTTTTACGCCACCAAAATCCCCAATCCGCTCTCCAAATGCCCCAGCCAGGAGCCCTGCAGCTTCGGGAGGGGCTTCCCCATTTCCCTCTCTCCCCTCTAACCCCCCCCCTTACAGCAGTCCCAGGGCTAGGAGCAGCAGGACCAGCTCTGTTACATAAGGAGGAGGCTGTGCAGCACAATAAGACAGTGACCTGTTATTATAACAAACTCCATAACAGTAACTCTAGCCTTCTGGTGCAGATGATTTCCTGGTCTAGTCTTGCTACTAAGGTTGACATAGTGAGAATGGCACTGATAGCTATTAATTAGCCCCAGAAGGTGAATATCAGGTGTACCTGGATACCCCAAGTCCTGTGGTTTTCCACCTCCTATCCTTTCCCACTCAAAGTCACTGGGAGTAGAGCAAGTCAGAAAGAAGAAGAGAGCCAAGCAGAGAGAAGAAAGGAGAAAGGACGGGAGGAGAGGAGAGCAGAAGAGAAGAAAACAAAGGAGAAGAGAGGAGAAGAGAAGAAAAAAGAGGTGAGACGCTGACAGCAGAAGAAGAGGAGAAGAAAGGAAAGGGGAAGAGAAAACAAGAGAGGAGATAAAAGAAGACAAGTTTTAACAGGGAAAAAAAACACCCTAAAATCAAGTCAAGTCACAATTTAACAGAACTACGATCCAATAACCGGCTCCGCTTTTGGCTTTTACTCCACCAAACGCCCCAGCTGGGAGCCCTGCAACTCGGGGAGGGGCTTTCCTGTTTCCCCCTCCCCCCTCTAGCCCCCCCCGGCCTGGCGCAGCCCCCACTTACAGCAGCCCCAGGGCCAGGAGGAGCAGGAGCAGCGCCCAGGTTCCCAGCGCCCAGCCCAGGACCGGGTCTCCCATGGCGAGCGCTTCTTCGGAGGCTTCTGAGCCGCGTCTGGGAGGTCTCGGGGTTATGTAATAATTCTGGGAAAGGAGCCAAGCCCGGGACTCCTCCTCCGGGCCGGCCTCCCGGGGTCATTCCCCGCTAGGACTACAAGCCCTTGAATGTCCGGCCAGCCCAGGACTATGTAGTCCTAATAGCTGGAGGGGGTTGCTCCTTCTCCATCATCATTCCTTCTCTTCACCATCTTCCTTCTCCTTTTCCTACTCTTCTTGTCTCCTCCTCCTCTATCACCTTTCCTTCTCCTCCTCCTTCTCCTTCTCCATTATTCCTTCTCTTTCTCCTCTTTTTTTTTTCTGGTGTTTTCTTTTCGTCCGTTCTGAAAATCAAAAAGAGATGTTTGCTCTTTTTGTCCCGTGACTCGTCTCCTGTTCTTTTGGGACTGAGGCTCAAGCGAGCAGTATTTATAGGCAGATGGAAACTTCTCCTTTTGCTGGTGTTCTGTTAGGCCAGCAGCCCAGGCACATTTGGCCTCTGAGACCCCCTTGCACCCAAGCAGGAAACCCCCTCCATTTGCACCCCCTCTGGGCAATGCAGCCCTCGTTGCCCAGTTTCGCTCTCCAAACTTGTTGGGGGTCTCTGTGTCTACTGGAGGGTAAATTCTTCTAGGAGCTGAATTCTGGTTGGGTGTGCTTGAAGCAGAGTTTCCCCTATTTTGCCCCTTCCCCACTGCTGGACACCCCAACCTCCGGCAGGTGTCTTGGTGGGAAACAGCTGGTTTCAGAAGAAGGCTGTGTGAGGTGGGTGGTCCTGAAGAGGCTTGCGAAGGAGAGGGGGGGGGCTTCTCATTTGAACACCCCTTCCTCCACCGATTGCGTCATTCCCCTTGCGCCCTGTCCAGTTATATACAGCTTTCTTTTCTTTTCTTTTCTTTTCAATTTTCTTTTCTGTACTTTTTATTTTTCATTTATTTGTTAGTTAGTTTGTATTAATTTTCAACTATTTAATTGTAATTTCAGATGCAACTACTACTACTTAAAAAAACATCAAATACTTGCAAAGTATCCAAATGACACTTTTCTTCTTCTTTCATTTAGTTCTGTGAGGCTGCAAGAAACTTTATTAAGATGGCCTCTTCGTTTTTATACATTTCTTGAAATCTCACGCACTAAGAAAAAGAATGGTGCATCAACTTTTCATTTCCGTGACAGTGTAAGAAATTTTTAACAAGATGGCCTCTTTGTTTTTATACAACATTTCTTGAAATCTCATGCACTAAGAAGAAGAGTGGTGCATCAACTTATTTAATCTGTTTATTTAATCACCTTTCTACCCCATCAGTCACTCAAAAATCAAGTGATGTGTGTATTACATAAGCAGGTTTATTATTATTTGCTTTTGAAGTGAAGACTGGAGGGATCCCAAGGTTAACTGGCACATCCAACTTTCCTTGAAAATCACCTGAGGAAATGTCTAAACAGGCATTTAACTCCACTGATTCAGAGTGCTGCTGTTATATGACATAAAGGCACAATAGGAAGGAAGGAAGGAAGGAAGGAAGGAAGGAAGGAAGGAAGGAAGGAAGGAAGGAAGGAAGGAAGAAAGGAAGGAAGGAAGGAAGGAAGGAAGGAAGGAAGGAAGGAAGAAGAGAGAGAGAGAGAGACAATGAGAGAGAGACATCACAGCCTCTTTCCATCCTCCAGATCTTCTATTCTTCATGTTCTACAACAGTTCTGGGCAGCAATTTCAACTTGATAGGATTCTTTGGTTGCACAAACCCTCTGTTGTCCAGCTCCAGTGGGATCTTCCCCATTAACCAAAAGAAAGGGAGAAAGAAAGATCACAGAGATGGAATTAAATAGAGGTGATTCTTCAAGGGAGGCCTGAGATGACTAACAAGAGCAATGTTTTACCTGTCTACACAAGACCTCTGTAGTATTTTGTTCAACTCAAATGTCTTTTCCCACTGTCTATGTTGTAACTAACAAGGGCACAGGGAGTGTCTGGAGCTTCACACTGGTGTTGTGAACACCAAACAGGACTTTACTATCAGTAGACATAGAAGCAAAACCACACGGAGTGATGATAATTGAAATGTAGTTAACAAGTTGGCTCTCCATCCATGCTATTCATTGCAGAATCACACACACACACACACACACACACACACACACACACACACGGTGGACTCTCATCCCAAAAAGATGACCCTGTCTTTCCAAAGAGATGTTCCTTTCACGTTCATCACCTCTCTGTGTCTTTGAACAAGACATATATGTGAGATCGGAATTCAGTTGAGTGAATTCTTTAGTGAATGAGCAGAAACCTGCTTCCAACACAAGTTGTTTCCCTGTAAAAAAAAAAAAAAATGACTCACCGGTGTCTCTTTGCAAGTTTGGAAGTGAAATTTTTGCAGCACAACCACCAGACCCATTTTCAGCACCAGGAGGGCGAAACGCATAGCGATGCAGTTCCTGGGACCCGCTCCGAAAGGGAGGAAGACATACGGGTTTCGGTTCTCTTTGTTCTCTTTGCTAAACCTATTTGGAAATCGGAGAAAAATCATGGCTGAGCAAAGTTTCGGTCCCCAACGGCCTGTGCCTCAGTTCTGTAATCAAGAAACATCTCTGCACCTCTAGCTAAGTTGGACTGAGACCAATGAAGAAAGAGAAACATTTATGAAGAGAGAAATCAGTGTGGTTCAAGGGCTGATTTGATGTAGTGGAATGTGGCCTGGATTCCCAGAAGGGAGGGGCAGCAGTTCAGAGGGCCAGGAGACAGCAACGTTTAGATCGTTGGGCTGGCAGAAAGAGAATTAAGACAGCCCCTCTGCAGAAAGCCTCAGAGTGTATCTTTAACGATGTAAGCAATTGCTGTATTTTGGCAAGATTCTGTCTACAGAGAACCACTTAGAAGTAACTCTGTGTGCCTTTCTTTGTTTTTTGGACCCTGAAACCTAAGGCTGAACTAAAGGAGTGCCCTAAAAATTGTTGCAACAGACTGTAAGTCAGAAAAACAATCTTCTAAAAACTGTCTGACATCTTTAGTTTTATAATGGTATGTACTGTCCACCATTTACTTGTGTAGACATCCTCTGGTGTAGACAGTCTACTTCCAACAATGCTATGTTACTAGTGGATGGTAATATAGTTAAAACATACTATTTCTGTGTCATTTTCAATGAATGTTGAGATTAACTGCTGATCTTTGCTGAATACCATGTTGATAATGCTCTCCTTCCTCAAATTGATACCCTCCAAATACTGTGGGACAATCTGTAGAAATAGGCTATGATGATGAGAAGTTCTGGAGTTGTGGTCCCAAGACTTCTGAAAAATTGAGGAATGCTATCCTGATTCAATCCTTAGTTCAGGAGTGCTGCTATAAAATTCACAAGCAGGACAGGAGAGTATCATTTGCTCTTGGTATTTAGTGTGTATGGAGATTTTCTATCCTAAAGAGTGTTGGCCTTATTCCCCATGACCACGTCATCAATGCCATGTTCTAGTTCCAGCACAGTTAAATCTAGACAACCTATCCTTGCCTTGTCATATTTGACCACTGAATTCAATGCTATTTATGGGCTATTTTCTACCACCTGATCCTCTTTAGTTGAGGATGCCAGAGTTCAAGATTGTCTGCTTGCTACTGAGACATGGTCCTTCCTGAATTCTTGGTCTTTGGCAAGTCCTGCTTAATTAATTTGGGCTTGTTATGGAGTTATGCCCAAGAATCCTTGAGTCTACTATGATACCCCGTTAGTGACAGCTACAATGTAAGTCAACAGACCCTATTTCTCATATTTTGGTCCACCCAGCCCTGTTCAAAAGGGAAATCTTTTCTAATTAATAGGATGGGAGATTAAATATAATTTCCTTCATATACCTTTACTCTTCTACTCCTATCAGTGTGGCATGTTGCCAGTTGCCCTACAGCTTTTTGTTCAGTTGCTGGAACATTAAGCCAAGCCATTGTCTCAGCAGCTACAGTCAGCTTAGCTATCATTTTCTCCCATGGAGTTAATTAAGTTCCACACACAGTTTATGGATGTGGATCATAAAAAAAAAGCCCTCAGTGACTTTGTAGATGTCAAAGAATGATCCACCTCTCATTTGAGATGTTACAGCCAACACCTTGCTCCCTGATGCCTTCATGGTGCTGTGTCCCTTATTCACTAGTTCCAGAAGAACGGTGTTCCTCACAACATACCTCTCAGGTCTGAACTCCTCGGGCTCAGGCCAATATTCTGGGATACGATGCAAGACAAAAACAGGGACAATAACCACGGTCCCTTCTGGGATGGTCACTCCATGGATTTCCACTGTCTTTTTGCAAACTCTATCAAGACGTTCTCCTGGAGGGTAAAGACGAAATGTTTCATTCACCACCATGTCTAGATATTCCATATGTTGGATGGCCTCATAAGTGGGAGGGGCCTACAAAAAAAGTCAAAACAAAACCAAATAAATAACATTCTGGCATACAAGAGGTGGTTTAGAAGTCAAGGATCAGAACCGGAATCCTAAAGAAAATGTTCTCGCACAACAGGAATCATAGAATGCCAGCTATCTCCCACCTCCTCAAAGTTTGCATTTCAGTTTTGTAATCTTTGCAGTAAGGAAAAGAAGTCCTGTCCTGTCAGAACAAGAATCTGGTTTTGCTCTTCTACATCTGCTACTGTTGGGATCACCCAACTTGACAGAGAGGAAGTATCAAGCAAGGAATTAGCTTGTAGTCTCTGCGTAACTACAAAAGGGCTAGGACCGACTTCGCCCTCTAAGTTCCTTAGAGCCTTGTCTAATTGTTCCCAGGAGTTGGCTGCCAGCCTGGGGAGATTCCTGTATTATAGACAGAACATAATAAAGTTGTTAGCTTGAAGTCTGCATGTGTGGGCCTGGTGGGACAGCTCCTAAAACGATCCATCCTAAGATAACATAAATGTATAAGACACAACAAATTCTTACCTGATTGGGAAACGTTTCATTGATCTCTTGATACAATTTCTCTTGAACATCAGGATGGATGGCCAGACAATAAGATACGAAGCTGAGTGTGATACCGATGGTGTCATAACCACCAAAAATAAAAATTATTGATTGGGCCAAAATCTCTTTGTCTGTTAAAGCTGTCAGATGAGAAAAGAAAGCACAGAAAAAGCTGGTGATAATCTGCTCAACATTCACTATTACATCACACACACACACACACACACACACACACACACACACTAGCAAATATCTCAAATTGACTTGTGGCTTTCAGGGTAACACAATTATCCCAGGGATCTGATTTCATCAACAGTTTTAAACAGCTTTCTCTCTCATCATACGAAGAACGTCAGCAGCTGTATTTGCAGCTGCAGGGAAAACTAAAATACCAAACACTAGTTTGATCAAATGAACACATCTATCAAACTGAATCTATCAGTTTGAATATTAGCACAGGGTAGGAAGAGCAGATAAAGATGTAATTTTAATCAACATTAAACTTAAACAAAGTCTTTAGAATCCTCTCTTTGTCTTCTATCTATTTTTTCAAACTCACTTCAGCTAAAGGAAACTATATTTTGCGGGGGAAAAAAAATCAAATTTTGAAGCTGATGCCAAGGTTAATAAACCGTAGACAAGATTAGTTATAGTTTAACGTTATACTGGAAGGGTGACCAATTTAAAATAGAAGCATTTTTGATCTCCTTGGGACTCTGTTCTAGGAGGCATGTGTGAAGAGCAAGAGAACTTAAAAGAGGTTTGAAGTTAAAGTTGCACCCCCTTCTGCACCAGGGTGACCTAAGGTAGACAGCTAAGCTGCAAATTCAAGGTGATAATCACTTGAAGGAGTGATGTAGATGTCTCGTCCATCTATTGTCTCTTATCTCATTATCTTTCAGGCGCAGCCTTCTCTGTAATCAACATTCTGATCCCATTTCAGTAAAGCCGGCCTTTGTGCATAGCATCCAACTTACAACATATTTGATTCATCCTTTCTCCCAGTGTCTTGTGGCTTCAGCATAATTTGCTAATATTTATTTTGAGTTCATCCATGCACATCAATTTGCCTCAAGCAACCCTTTTTTTTCTTTCAAAAGTGAGATCTGTAACTTTACCTTTCTCTGAATTTGCCTCCCCGGAGGTGTTGGCTGCAGCTTGAGAGTCCATCATGAGCTGCAGAAAGTCAACCCGGTTCTGGAATGGTAGAGAGACCAAAAAACGGTCATTAAGGAGATACAGCTAACATTGGTGGCTCCAATTGCCCATTGTAGACTTCCAAGATATTTGAGGTGCTCGCTTGTTTTTCTTGCAGATGTTTCATTATCCAAACTAGGTAACATCATCAGGGCTAGACGGGAGTGAGGTTTCATCATCATGTTACCTTGTTGGGCCATGAAAGGTCTGCAAGAAAACCGCCAAGTTCAGAGAGTACCAAGGATCCCACTTGTCAACCTGGAGCTACAAATATTCTCCTTTATTAGAAGGTGTTTGAAACTCAATGGGCAGTTCTGAAACCTGCCTGGCATGCACAGACATACACTGAGTGCACAAAATCCAGGTCACAAAGGCCACAGAACAAGACCAGCCATGAGACAAATAGTCTAGACTGACCGTGTGATTCTCCTTTTGTCGATCTTCTTTGATTTTTTTGATGACACCAGAGAAGAAGTCTATCGAAGACTTGGGAAACACGCTAAAGTTGAGCTTTTCCAGCACTGGAATAAAGAATGGGAAAAGAACTGGGGGAGGGGTGGGGGAGTGGGAAAAAAACCAGATCATTTGCCTGAACACAACCAAGCTGCAACACAGTGAGAAAAACACAGCAGGAAGCTCCCATTAGCTGTTTTGTTTGTTTGTTTTAGGAAAAAGACTCTAGCAAAGTTGCCGGTCTATTGTGAGACAGTTGCAATAATGATTGAGAAAGGTTAAAATTGATTGAGTAAAAATAATAATAATAATAAAAAAACAACAATAACAACAACAATAATAATAGAGTTGGAAGGGACCTTGAAGGTCTTCTAGTCCAACCCCCTACTTAGGCAGGAAACCTATACCATTCCAGACAAATGGCTGTCCAATTTCTTCTTAAAAGCCCCCCAGTGATGGAAATTCTGGTTAATTGTTCTCACTGTCAGGAAGTTTCTCCTTAGTTCTAGGTTGCTTCTCTCCTTGACTAGTTTCCATCCGTTGCTTCTTGTCCTGCCTTCTGATGTTTTGGAGAATAGCTTGACTCCCTCTTCTTTGTGGCAGCCCTTGAGATATTGGAACACTGCTATCATGTCCCCCCTCGTCCTTCTCTTCATTAGACTAGAAATTTAATAAAGCTATAGCTTGAATAGCTATTGCAAAAGTTTTATTCTACCATACTTTCCCCATTATTTACCAACCAACACAGGTTGGGATGGTAGCCAATGAAGACCTTGGGTAAGTAGGGAATTACCCTATTAGTTTAGGGAAAGAAGGTCTAACATTCTAGTGAAGGATCTCAGGTACTGAACAATTAGGGCCAAAACAACTTTTCTCAACCATGAAACACCTAGTCTGATTTTTCTTTTCTTTTCTCCTCTCAACTAATTTTTATGGAAAGATGAAAAGTGCAAGACATGGGGAAAACACAGGAATTTTACTCAGATATCATTGGAATCAAGAATGAAATGCAGCCTAGAATGAGTGCCTTTCCAGCAAGCAACCAAGATGCAGAGCAGAGATGTTCACCTCTGTGGCCTACAAAGACATCTTACCAGTTAAGATTAAAACAGGATCGAGGAAGCTAAATTTAAGGAGCTTCTTGATGTTCACAACAACAGGATCATTGGGATGGTTGAGGGAGTCAATGTTGATGCCAAATGAAGTGCTGCTTACCACATCCAAACTGTAGGCTGAAAAGATCCTGGAGGAAAGAAGGAGAAGCCTAGTGTGGAGGTTCAACCACTGGAAGCCACCTCCTGATATATTCAATGGGTCATTTCAGGAATCCTTTCATAATCCCGAGGGATTATGGAAACTATGAACTGACAGGTCCAACATCATTTTTATATGCTTGGGCTACGAACTCTCCTTTTGTAAATTTATGCTAGAAAAGGGAAACTCTCCACCAAATTCTTATAGATACTACTTACAGCCTCATATCCATCACTTCATCATTGTCCACTTTCTTCTGAAGGTTCTTTACCAAGATTTCATTATAATGGTTGATGATGGGCAGCATCTGACAGGAAGACCAAGGTATGAGATGTAATAGACACTTCTACCATTTATAGACTGAAACCAACAAGACGGTTCAGGCAATGTTTAATGGCGGGCACAAATCGCTGAGAAGTCTGAAAGGCACCCAACCCTCATCGCTTACCTCCTTCAGCCTCCCACTGGTGAAACTAGGAGACCAGGCATTGCGAATCCTCTTCCACTGTTCATTGACAGTGGAGAATATGTTTGTGTCCATATCGCCATTCAGACCAAAATCCTGAATAATGGGAAATATAAAGAAAATGAAAACAGAAAAGTTTTTTGCTGTTCTTCTGTCCTTTCCTTTAAATTTGCTTTTATTAGCTGTATGTCATCTCTCTCATGTCTCCCATCTATCTATCTATCATCTATCATCTCCATCTCCACGTCTATCTGTCTGTCTGTCTGTCTGTCTATCTATCATCTATCTATCTACTTGCATAACTACCTAGCTATCTCTCTGAACTCAAGATGGCATATTGTTCCACCTTCAATCTCTTTCACAATAACTACATAAGTTTCGGTGGAGAAAGAGTGACTGGCCCAAAGGCTTCCAGGATTCAGGGAGACCTTGGACCCAGGTCTCCCCAGTGCCAACGCAACACCTAGATCACAACACTAGACTTGTTTTCCATATGCACTTGCTGGGCTTCTATTTCTGAATCCTGGTGAAGTTCTAACAGACTCATGTTTGGATACCTACCCGGCGATTGGTGAAATAAGTATGGAATTCTTTGACCAGGACACTTTTAATGAGGGCAGGATCCAGAATGGCCATCACAGGTTGCCGGCCATCAAACAGTCTGATTGTCAAAACAAAAATAGATGTTTTGAAATGTAGGCTTTATCTTTATAAAGAGACAGGATCAAGGCTTCCTATTTTCCATCTGAACAGTTGGTCAAGTAGAGGACATTGTTCTGAATTCTAGTTTTCAGCTCAAAAGGGATGTGGGGGGAGGTCCTTGGTGCTCTCTGAGCTGGGTAGTTTTCTTGTAGTACTAGATGAAGTTATCTAGTTTGGATCATGAAACATCAAAAAGCAAGCAAGTTCAGAGAGCACCAAGGACCCCTCATTTCAACCTTGAGCTACAGATATTCTCCTTTATTGCTATCAAAAGGGATGTGTGTGTTGCAAATGTGATTCTGCACAATTGTCTACCCTTTAAGGGTTTAAGGAGGGGAGGAAATAAGGATGAGAATCTTAGCAATTACAGAGCGTTCATCCAACCTACGCCTCTACTCGGACAGCAAAAGCAAATTAAATCCTGCAGACCGATTAAAAGCCCCTTCCCTTATGAAGGTGACATTCTGACAGGTGACTCACCCCCAGAGTTTGCCGTATCTCTCAAAGCATATCTGGTCAAACTGCAGAATACCCTGTCAGGTTAAAGAGGGAGATCAGTGAAAACAAGGCAGTGTAATCCTTTCTTCAACAGAGACTGGAAGAGTATGAACAGCCATTAAAAGGCCTTCAACTAGTAAGCCTTGAATCCCTGTTGATGATATGGTTAAACCAATACAGGGACAATAGTTTCAGAATGAAGACCAAGGAATTCTGACAGAGGTGCCAAAGAAAGACAGATGGCTTTAGTGGTAGTCCTTGACTTATGATTGCAATGAATAGTCATAAGCTGAGGACTACCTCAGTTTAGTACTAGTAGCCTTTATTCTTTCAGACTTTCTTCTGAGGAGGCCAAGAAGAGGTGACACAAGTCACAACATCCCCCTTGGGGGGGGGGACAAAGGAAACAATTCCTTTTCACCATTGGATTTGTCTACAGGTTACTGGGATGTGAACAGTACAATATACTCACATGCCGATATTCGTGGAAACTTCCGATAAAAGGCAGTGGTGTTGGGCCAGGAATTCCCAATTTCTTGAAGAAATTATACGGCCAGATCCCATAGCTGAAAGAAAAAAAAAAAGAATATCAGCAGGATAATGTCACTGGGTTCCAACCAAAGAAGGCTTGGCAGGTGGAGAAGATCAGAAGGTCCATCAAGCCCACCTTGAAGGACAGCAAAGATGTCCTAGATGCAGAGAATGGGGCAGATGACCTCGACAAAGCTGTGCAGAAGCCGTTTCCCAGGTAAAAGGGGCTGAAACTTTTTTAAAGTCCAGAAAAAGGAGAAAGCACTTGGAAGCTGTTCAAGCAGACACTCCCTAATTCACTGCTACATAAGGAGGAGGAGGAACTGTCCAGCGCAATAAAGCAATGACCTGTTATTATAACAAACTGCATAAAAGTAAATCTAGCCTTCTGGTGCAGTTGATTTCCTGGTCTAGTCTTGCTACTAAGGTTGACATAGTGTGAATGGCATTGATAGCCATTGATAGGGTGTATCCACTTGGATTGTGCCACCACCACCACCACCACCACCTGGTTACCACAGTGTTAATTCCTGCGGTTTTTCACCTCCAGTTCTCTTCCACGCAGCAGCTCAAAGTCGCCTGAAGCAGAGCAACGGGACAAAGTCAACAAGAAGAATAGAGGAGAGAGAAGAGGAGCGAAGAATGGAGAAGAAAAGAGAGGAACGGAGAAGAGAGAAGAACACAGGAGAGGAGATAAAAGAAGAAAAGAGTCGAGTCGAGTCGAGTCGAGCAGAGCGGAGTGGAGCAGAGGAGGGGGAGAGAGCAGAGAAGAAGAAAAGTTTTAACAGAAAAAAAAAAACTAAAATCAAATCGAGTCGCAAGTTACCACAACTGCGATCCAATAACCGGCTCCACCTTGCGCTTTTACGCCACCAAAAGCCCCAGTCCCGTCCTGCAACTCGGGAGGGGGTTCCCCCCGTTTCCCTCTCCCCTCTCTAAACCTCCCCCCCCGGCCTGGCGCAGCCCCCACTTACAGCAGCCCCAGGGCCAGGAGCAGCAGGATCAGCGCCCAGGTTCCCAGCGCCCAGCCCAGGACCGGGTCGCCCATGGCGAGCGCTTCTGCGGGCTCCCGGGCGAGGTCGGCGCCTTCTGCACGCGCCTGGGGTTTTATAGCTGCAGCGACTACTAGCTCTAGTTCGGGTGTCGGATGGGGTGGAAAGTTCATTGTCCGAGCTTGTGGGTTGTTTGCGAACGTTATATAACTGTCCTCGGGAGAAGGAGCCAAGTCCTCGGGGCGGCCTCCTGTGGCCGGTCCAAGTTAGGACTACAAGCCCGAGAATGTCCGGCCATCCCTGGGATATGTAGTCCTAACAGCTGGAGAGGGTCGCTCTTTTCCTTTCTCTTTCTCCTCCTCTTCCACCTTCTCTTTCCCCTCCACCTTCTCCTCCTCCTCCTCCTCCTGGTCCTTCCGCTCCACCTTCTTCTCCTCCTCCTCCTCCTTCTCCTGGTCCTTCCATTCCACCTTCTTCTCCTCCTTCTCCTGGTCCTTCCATTCCACCTTCTTCTCCTCCTTCTCCTGGTCCTTCCATTCCACCTTCTTCTCCTCCTTCTCCTGGTCCTTCCCCTCCACCTACTCCTTCTCCTCCTTCTCCTGGTCCTTCCACTCCACTTACTCCTTCTCCTCCTTCTCCTGGTCCTTCCATTCCACCTTCTTCTCCTCCTCCTGGTCCTTCCGCTCCACCTTCTCCTTCTCCTCAATTAAAAAAAAATGTTATGACCTGGCTATCATAAAGGACATAGTTTTGGATACCAGGAGTAAAATCTGTCATCACCTTTAAGAAAGGAAACATGATATTTGATGGGACAGAAAAATGAATGGTGAGCTGTTTTGGCTTTGATGCTCAAGCTTTAGAGATATGCCAGAGGCTGAAATGGCTCCAATTAAACATTACCAAAACATTAATTTTCACCCCAGTATGACTTCCTCATTCAAGAGATTATACCGTGCATCCGAATGAAGACTGCCAAATGGGATAGGCTTGCCCTGATTTTAAATAAAGTACTTTTATTATGTATTTTAATTTTCTTCTATGTTGCCCGAGGGGCCCTTTTTCCTTAAAAAAAAAAGCAGCACTAAAATAATATTAAAATAAGCATTAAAACTATGCCCTCTCAAATGAATATGTTGTTTAAATTTTAAAAAAATCCCTTCTTCTGTCTATTGTATTCCTTTACCTCTGCTTACCATAAATTGAGTAAATTAATGTTATTCTAGAACTTTTGAGAAGGAAATGTTCTGGATTTCCTTTATAATGGTGAGTTTCCATACACAGCCATTAGTTTTAAAGTCACTAGGCCACATGAGAAATGCATAGGTGGTATAAATTTGTGCAAGATGTTCCTTTGCAAGGGACATTGGACTGCATGGCTGTGACTCCCAGCTTGCTCTATTGGATCACATTCTTGAAGATCCCACTGGCTTTCCTGCTAGGATCGGGGGATCTCCTGGCAGACATGTGTAATCTCAAACTGAAGATCCCTCCTATTAGTAGCACCAGTTTTAGCCTGTTTCCCCAAAGTGGCTTTTGAACAAGGATGTTTGATTCTAACTGAGCACCTGTGAGATTAAATTTAATATCCTCCACTTGTTTTGGTTTTTTTTTGTTTTTGTTTTAAATGCTTGTGTTCTGTATTTGTGTGGCTCAGTGCCAGGGTCTTTTTTTAAAAGAAAAAGTCTGGATGTAAAACTAGGCCAGTGCTGCAGTCACTAAGCCATTTTAAATTGTCATTTTCCCCAGAATAGTTAATGCACATTATGAGCGTAGATCATAAAAGGCTGAGCACAGGGCGGCAGACCCTGAATGTCAAACAATGATAAATGGGCTATTTAATCATCGGCACACACACGCACACACATACACACACTCACCTGCTTCCCAAGCCGTGATTTGCATGCAGCGGGATAGTCTCCTTGCCAAGGAACTTTTCTTGGGCCTGAACAGTTTTGGTTCCTAAAATATGGTGTCTCACGAAAGGGGTGATTATAGGTCCAGTTCCTCTTGGTTGCTCACTTCATTGACATCCTGTTCTCTTTCTCTTTGTCCTGCTCTTCTATCATTCTTTCTCTTTCTCTTTCTCCTTCTCTTCCTCCTCCACCATAATTCCTTGTCCTTCTCCTCCACCATCATGCCTTCTCCTCTTCCACCATCTTCTCCTTCTCCACCACCATTCCTTGTCCTTCTCTACCATCATGCTATCTCCATCTCGTCTACCATCTTCTCTTTCTCCTTTCTCCTCCTCTTCCTCTTCCTCCTCCTCCTCCACCTCTTTTCTGTGTTTTACTTGTTCTCCTTAATTCTGAAGGTAAAAATCAAAACGAGAAGTTTGCTCATTTTGTCCCGTGACTCATGTCCTGTTATTTTACAGACTGAGGCTCAACCAAGCAGTATTCATACGCAGAAAGAAACTTTGGAGAACTTTTAATTAAAGTTAAATGGGCCCAAAGTGACCCAGCCAGCTTTCATGCCCGGACTAGAACTCACCGTCTCCTGGTTTCTAGATCAGCACCTTTACCACTAGACCAAACTGACTCACCTCACCTAATAAGGTAATGCACAAAACCGGGCTGTGCCCTGCATTTTTCCACCTGCCTATTCTAGTTTATGTTTCACCTCTCTGGGCTGCACTTGAACCAAGACTTTGAACTTGGGAGAAGCGACTGACGTCATGCAACAATTCATCTTGCAGAATCTGTGGTCAATTAAGGGAAGGAGATCTGCCTTAGCTTGAATGCAGCTAAGGCTTGCTTAAGCAGAGAGCATGATGTAACCTTGCAGCAATTAAATCCAAGTCCTTTCTTTTGCTTTCACTGAAAGGATTAGCAATTGCCACCCTGGGGAAAACATTTCACAACACGGAGCCGCTGGCACGCAAGGAGTGTTATTTATTTACTTGTCGGTGTCTCGCTTTCTCCAGTTTTCAAGGAACACCCAAAACATGAGAGAAAGAGATGGCTGCACCATAGTATATGGCCCAAGTCTTCCCCTTCTCTACGATCTTTACCAAAACCTTGTGAGGTAGATACAGGAGAAAAAGAAAAAAAACTTGTTTAGAAATTCAAAGAAGCAGAGATTTTTATTTTTATTATATCAAGTTACTCGGGGATTGAAAACCCCAGAAACAATTCATTTTGGGTCATTAAATGACAAGAAGAATCAGCTCAACTATGGAGGATTTGCTGGTTTCTCGGTGACACTCTAAAGCTAATTTTTCTCAATACAATTGGCCCTGAAAGGGTAACTTTTAACTGTGGTTAGTTTGTTTATCTGCCAAAGGAAGGGAAGATGATTGTGTTATGAAGGTTTATGAAGGAAATGGGGATGTCTAGTTTAATAAAAAGAAGGACTAGAGCTGACATGATAGCAGTCTTCCAATATTTAAAGGGCTGCTACAAAGAAGGGGGGGGGTCAACCTATTCTCCAAAGCCCCTGAAGGCAGGAGAAGAAGCAACAGATGGAAACTAACCAAGGAGAAAAGCAACCTGGAATTAAGGAGAAATTTCCTGACAGTGAGGACAATTAATCAGTGGAGCAGACTGCCTCCAGAAGTTGGGAATGCTCCAACACCTCAAGTATTTAAAAAGAGGCTGGACAGCCATTTGTCTGAAATGGTATAGTGTTTCCTGCTTGAGCAGGGGGTTGGACTAGAAGACCTCCAAGGCCCTTCCAGCTCTGTTATTCTGTTTTTCCCATTTCAGTTCACAAAGAACATTCTGGAAGAAGGCCTGGTGCTCCTTGCTAATATCGATAAAATAAGATGGATCTCGACATCTTTGATAACTCCTATTGCACCGTCTTCCTTCTGCGGCTTCTCATTCTGCATTTCATAATGTTGTACTTTATGGCAATTCTTTACAGCGATATTTTAGAGCAACTGTTAATATTTAATATCTTGTGAGCCCGGCTGGGATTTTATGGAAGAGAAGAGGCGGGTGATAAATGTTTTAAATTCAGGGGTGGGAAGGGGAAAAGGATAAGACATTGGTGAGCTCTGAAATTTGCTGAGCTACAACTCATGGCATCGCTCATCCTTGGCTCCTGTGGCTGGGAAAGATGGAGGTTGGAGCTGAATATTTTTGACATTCTATTCTGCCTTTAGATAAATCCATAAAAATAAATAAGGCTTCTGCCTTTTGTCAAGGAAGCAATCAGGAAATGTATTTTAAAATAATGCAAGTGGTCCTCAACTTAGCAACTGTTTGTTTAGTGACTGTGTGAAGTTACAACGGCACTGAAAAAAGTGATGTGTGACTGTTTTTCACACTTACGGCCCTTGCAGCATCCTCACGATCACGTGATCAAAATTTAGACGCTTGGCAACTGGCTCGTATTTGTGATGATTGCAGTGTCCTGGGATCCTGGGATTCCCCTTCTGCGGCCTTCTCTGAAGCATGGTTGGGCTGAGTGACCAACCATGCTAATAATAAAGACCTTGAACCCCATTGAACCTCCATATCTGCCCTTCCTAGGTCCTTGGGAAGGAAGAGGTGGACAAAAGTGCCAAAACCAGTCAAAACATCTGGCTGACCGAGCGACCAACCATGATAATAATAAAGAGCTTGGACACCACTGAACTTCCATATCTGCCCATCCCAGGTCCTTGGGAAGGAAGAGGGGGACAAAAGTGCCAAAACCAGTCAAAACATCTGGCTGACAGTGTGACGAACAATAACATTGATTGCAAAAAGACTTTGGATAGTCTTCGGTCCACCTCATTCTGGAGATGGATTGTCAAGGCCTCTACATTGCTCATAGGTTGCACCAGAAACAGCTGTTCCCTCCAAACGTGGTAACTAGTCTACTAAATCAACCAAAACCCAACTCTACATGAAATATTGTCTCTGGAAAGATCCCCTCCAGTGTCGGAAACCTATTTAACCCCCCCCCCCAAAAAGTAATGTCATCAACTCCTATTTGGCTCCTTTCTTCATTAAGAGACCTGCTTATATCTGATTTGCATATCCAGCTGAGCTGGTGCTGGCTCACTCAATTTATTTCCCCTGCAGAACGTGGGTTAGCAGACAAGAAGAGTAAGACATTAAAATAGAAATCAGAAAATGTGTTAAAGACAGCAGAAAGGGAGAGGGAAATATCCCGGAAACATTCAAGATAGAAAAAAAAGATCATGCTTAATAAATGATAAACATGCAGCAGCTGCTGTTAGTGGACATAAATCAGCTTTTCATAAGATATGGATGTAAAAGGAGTTATCGGATGGTCTACGAGGGGAGACCGCTGTAATTATGGGGTGACCTACTCTGGCTAATAGCCTATCCGCTTTTAGATGATAATTAGACTACTTTTTTCTTGCTCAATATCTACATCAAAAATTAGA